TTCTGCAGGTGGATAGCCACTTTTTCCAGCACCACTTGTTGAAGAGGGCATCCGTTTCCCATTTGACATTTTTTCATTGGGCCATTATCAAAAATCAGTTGTCTGTATGCAGATGATTTTCTTTCTGGGTGTTCAGGTTTTGGGGTTTTGTTTGTTTGTTTGTTTTTTCAGATTTTTTTCCACATTGGTCTGATTATCTGTCATTATTCCAATGCCACACTCTTTTGACCACTGTGGCTGTATAATAGGTGCTAAAGTCAGGTAAAGTGAACCCTCCCACTCTGTCCTTCTTGAGGAGTTCTCTGCTAATTCTGGGCTTCTTCCCTCTCCATATTTAGTTTGTAATCAGTTTTCCAATTATTTGAAGAAAGGTGGTCCTATTTCTATCGGGATAGCATTAAACTTATATAGTGCCTTGGGAAAAACTGACATCTTTACTATATTGAGTCTTCCAATCCATGAGGATCTGCTGAGGACAGGTGGGTGTACCTCCTTTGGTGTAGAGCACTGCTGATGGCTGATGGAGATTTCCCGCAGTAGCATGGAGCGCTGGAGGGGATTTTCAGAGCAGCTTTAGGTCTTGTGAAGCATTGTGGTGGTCAGGAGGAAGTTCTCTTAGCCATGTGTAGGCCCAAGGAGGATGGGCAGTGGATCCCCCAGCCACGTGGTGGGCTGTGGAAGGCAGGCAGAGTGGAGCATCCCAAGGGGTGGTTGGGAGTTTCCTCACCTGCTTAGAAGGGAGTTCCCCCAGCTGTTTGAAGGAGAGATGCCCCAGTCATTTGAGGTGCATTGCAAGGTATGCAGGATTTCCCCAGCCACCTGTAAGTCCACAGAGGACTGACGGGAGCTCTTTTAGCTGTGTGGAAGGTGGGCAGAGTTGCCCTTGGTGGAGGGTCGTGGCTTGGAGGCCAGCAGTGGTGTGTGAATTAGAAGAGAGGGGGAAAAAAACTAGATTGTAAAAAAACCTGAGCCCTCTGAGACTGTGGTGGGAAAGAGAGAAGAGAAAGAAATAAAAGTAAAGGAATAGTTGAGCCCTGATCACCTGACTGTGGGACTGGAGGGGTGTAAACCCTGCCCAAAGGTGGCAGCAAGCTGTGGTTGTGCTTAAGTAAAGCCTTTGGGCCGGCCAAAGTAGCTCATCTCCAGCTGAGACTGTGGTGGGGCTAAGGCTAAGCCCCAGCCAGTCTCTACAGTGGTAAGCCAAAAGCCCACAGCTCTTCAAAACCTAGTGGATCTGTGTATACTTATCTTTATGATGCTCCTCCTTTGACCTGGAAGAGTAGAGTTTCCCTCTCAGTGGCTCTCCTGCGTTGATCTTTGCGCAGTCTCTTTGCTGTGTGTTACTAGGTTGCCATCTTGCCGGAACTCTGTACTAAGATATTTTGAGTAGCATATCTGTATAGTAGATTTTGAGGTGGGAAAATGAAAGACCTTCCATTTTATTCTTCTTAAGTAGTGCTTTGCTTATCCTGGGATTTCTTTCCATGTAAAAGTGATGACTGCTTTTCCGTCTCTTTGAAGAATGATGCAGGAATCTCCATTGGAGTGTATTATATTTGTAAATCAATTTGGTTAATATTGGTATGCTCATAATGTTGTCTTTCTATTCATGAACAGCATATATTCTTTAAAAAATATATTCTCTAATATTTATGTAGGTATCTCTTGGTTTCTTGTAATAGTGTTTTATAGTTTTCTTTATCCTAATCTTTTGTTTCTCTGGTTATATTTATTTTGTGTGGCTATTATAAATGTGGCTATTATATATTGTTTTCTTGCACCTTTTTACATTGCCATACATTTCAATTATGTCTTAACAATTTTCTTCTCGAATCTTTGGGGTGTTCTACATTTAGAGCCATATCATCTGCATATGGAAAGGATTTTACTTTGCCAATTTTGATTACCTTCTAGTCCTATTTTGTAAGTGTTTGGGTCAGGAATGGGTGTTGTATTTGTCAACTGTGTTTTCAACATCAGTTTATAAGTTCATGTGTTTCTGTTCCTTTTTTATTTATATGTTAGATTACATTGATTGTTTTTCTAATGTTGAACCAAAATGTATTGTGTAGGCAAGCATTTTTTTAAGAATGTTTACATTTATGTTAATAAGGGATATTGGTCTGTAATTTTTAATTTTGGTCAAGTCTTTACCTGCTTTTGGTATCAGGGTTATTCTCACGTCAAGAAATGAATTCAGGAGTTTGCGGTGGTTTCCTATATTCTGGAATAATTTTCTAAAGATCCCTTTCTTTTATTATTCTGGAATTATTTGAAGAGAATTGCTGTCAACTCTTCTCTGAGGGGTTTTTGGAATTTTCCAAGGAAATCTTATGGTCTTGGATACTAAAGAGCGGATACTAAGGGCTCAACTAGAAAGTAAATGTTTAGAAAATAATGATTGCAACATATGTACAAATATGATTGATACCATTGATGTATGGATTGTTATAAGAGCTGTAAGAGCCCCCAGTAAAATGATCTTTTAATTTTAAAAAAGTTTCTGTCTCAGAAACCCTCAGAGCAGTTTTATCCATAGGGTCGCTGTTTAGTTGGAATCGACTCAGTGGCAGTGAGTTTGGCTTGGTTAGTGTTTACTACATCAGTCTGTTAATTTAGGGAGACAGTGTTTCAAGAACTTTATCCATTTCTTTCTTATTTTTGTCATTTATTTTATGTATTTAAATACATTGGAGTACAGTCCTTTATAGCATTGTTTTTGTAATATCAATTGTTCCTATTGGGATGTTGTCCATTTCATTTCTTTTCCTTGACATTTGTAACTTATCCTTCTTTTCCTTTGTGAAGTTCTCCAGTGGTTTGTCAATTTTTAAATTATTTCAAAGTACCAACTTGCTGTCGTGTTGACTTTTTTCTGTAGTTTTCCTGACATATATTTCTGCTCTAATCTTTATTATTTCTCTCTTCTGGTGGGTGAGGTTTTGTTTTGCTACTCTTATTCTAACTGTTGAAGATGCAGACTTGAGGTTTTGATTTTGGTTCTTTATTAACGTGTGTTCATTACTATAAATTGCCTTGTGAGTATTGCTTTTGTTGTGTCCCAAGGTTTTGGCATGTGGTATTTTCATTCTTACTTATTAGAAGAAATTTTAAACATTTATTCCTCATTTCTTTTAAGCAGTGTGTTGTTCAGTTTCCACTTACTTATTCTATTCTGTTTTCCTTCTTTGTGTTATCTCCAAGACAGCATATTATTTTTGTTGATAAAGTGTTATCAGAGTAGATGGTCAATCTTGTCCACTAGTTTTAGCTGCTGGGGATACTAGGGTGGCTGAATCCTGTGGGAACAATGGACCCTGCTAGGTGGAACTTAAAAGGAATAATAGAAACAAAATAAAATCAAGACAACACCATAATAATACAACTGATGCAACAACCAAACAAATGGACACAACACCCACTCAGACACATGCACATGTACACACACACAAACACCTAATCTATAACTAGCACCTTTTTTCTCGTCCGCAGTCACTGGTGCGTACTTAACATGATTCCACTTAGCGTGCACAAAAAGTAGGGAGTATTGCCCTGGTGCTTTAAGGTAGGTAGGGGTGGCAACGTCTCTTCAGCAGGGGTTAATGGTTATTCCCATGCTCTGCTTCTCTTCAATGATGGTTTATGAAAACATCAAAAGAAGAAAACCACAAGAACAAAGGCAATAAATTAGTAAAACCCAAATGCTATACTGGTTGCTGCTGTTTTGTATACCCCAGTCCCTAGGCTGACTTCTTTGGTGGGTATTATGGTTGGATCCACCCATATTATAGGCCCTCTGACCATTTATCAAGACAAAAGAAAAAAACTGAAAGGGATTTGTGTGTGTGAGGTGGGAGCAGCAAAAAAAAAACAAAAAAAACAAAACAAAAAAAACGTTCCCCTCAGTTCTGTCCAGCTTATGTCACCTCAGAACATTCTGTTGGAGTCACTCATTGGAGTTATGTGGGTGATCTCAGCCTCTGTACATGAATATGTGGGCCAGTATTCCCTCTGGGCACCAGGGAACTATGGAGGACCCTAGATGCTTCAATTCCCCCATAGCTAGCTTCTCCCATTATTTAGTTTCCCATGGTGCATGTTGTTCTTACCTGGTCTGCTGCTCTTTCAGACCACACTAGAAGACCCAGGGATGAGGAAGGAGGGGCATAACTAGCTGCTGAGTATACTAGATTGGTCTCCATTCACTCATTTGTTCACTCAGGGCTGTAAGGAGCCACGTGGGAGCCCACCTCTTGCTATATCGAGCACCAGAAATTGCTCTGCTTTGTGGGAGGTGCCAATTAGATCATGGTTGGCCAGCAGAGCATCCAGTGTTCCACTTTCTGATTGTCCAATCCTGGAGTCTGTCTTGTGCTGTGGACAGAACTGGTCACGAGCCAGAGGAGAATTCCATATATGGGTTTGTTCCCCCCCCACTTCCCCATTGGTATGTTTGGTTCACCCAGCTGCCCCTTCCTCAGAGGCACGGGGCTCTAGGTCTCTCCTCTGCGTGCTCTTTTTGATGCTGAGGCCTCACAGATGTCAACTTTTGAAAACTAATTCCAAAACTATTTCATACATTTGACTAATGAAATATTACCAGTTACCCAAAATTTATATACTTTTGCACATTATAGGGCTAAAAGGGCTTTTCATTTTCATATACATGCCATACTTCCTTTCCTATTGATCCAGAATATTTTCATCCTTTGTGTTGAAAATTAGGTTTTAGTTCATGACCCTCTTATAGAAGAGTAAGTAACCCTCACTTTAAGACTATCTTCAATTAGAAGTTTGGTTCAGTATCCCTTCTTTGTATAAATTTAAGTGTAAACTCTAAAAGTGTTTTTTTTGTTTGTTTGTTGCTTTACAATTCTAGCTTAAAAACTAAGCCTCTGGATTTGTTTCTGGAAAATTTGTATTAGGCTATGTAAGCCAGCTTTGTAAACAAGTAAAAGTCTCTGTTAGTTAATATATTGCTTGGTATTATCTTTAACTAGGCTTTCCAAGCATGGCCGTTGGTAGAAAAGAGGACATGTTGGCATGGTCATGCAGGAGGAGGACTCCACACTGATCCAAAAGAAGGGGTAAGAGGCAATACCAAGTGACTGCAATTCTTGTTGATGATTATGCTTGCATGGAGTTTTATGTTCAAGATTTTTACATTCCAGACTGTTTTGCATGACCTATGTAAATGTATGATTTCTAATACAGAAAAACTATATGATATGACTGTTGTCTTGGCTTGTATTCTCTAGAGAAGTAAAACCGTTGCAGCATATACACGTATATATAGAAGGTTTATGCCACAGAAATGGCTCACACAGTTGTAAATATGGCCAAGTTCCCAGCCCATAGGTCAGATGTCAAGTTTCAGGCATCTTCTGACCCACTTACCTTCAGGGGCTGATGAACCCAAGATAGGCAGACCAGACTGAAAGCTTCTGACTGTATATAGAGTAAAAAAAATTCAAGATCAGAGTTTGGCTAAAGAGGTTAATAAATCTAAGTTTGACATGTAAGATGGCAAGCTGCTGATCTTTTCCCGGATTGACGAGTGATAAGTTATACTACTGAGTCCAGCTCAAAGAACTGGAGGTTGACAAGCCAGATGTAGGATCCAAAACCCAACAACAAAAAAAGCAAGCTTATCTACATTATCCACTTACATTAGAAGTGGGCTATACTCTTCAGACCTCTCTATGGAGGATTTCTGCTTATTAACTGCTTAACCACTGACAGTCCTGGTTCAGTGAAGTTAACACAAAACGTAAACCATCACAGTCATAGAGATACAACTTTCACCCACCCCAAAATGATAATTCACTAAAAAAGAAAAAGTGGAATAAGCTAACAATGCAAAACTTTTAGTTTTTAAAATATTGCCTGAGGTTCCTTGTTGTGTTATTAGCCTTATAAATAAATGGATTAGTTAGATTTAACACTTGGATATAAATTGTGTGTGTGTGTGCGTGTGTGTGTGTTTAGAAAGATCCCCCAAAACTCCGAACTTCATGGTAATTCACCCAGCTATGATCCATTTAATCTAATTATCCATATTCTTTTGTTTTTTCATTGTAGTGAAAATCCACCCCACAGCATTGACCAGCACAACAACTTATACTTAATTTGCTGACATTGATGACATTTTTTATGTTGTACCCTTTTGTTATCCTGTTCCAAATTATTCTGTCACTATTAACATAACCTCTAGGCCCCTACCTTCACTCAAAAATCTTCTGCCCTCTCATGCTTGGTAGCCATAATGGGTTTGTGTATATTTATTTATTTATTACTTGTATATGAGATCATATAGTATTTGCTCTTTGGTGGCTGTTTTATTTTGCTCTGCTTGAAGTTTTTTAAGGTTTGTCCATCTTGTGGTATGCTTCAGAACTTCATTTCTCTTTATGGCTATGTAATATTCTACTGTACGTAAATAACACATTTTGTTGCTTTCTATTCATATGTTGATAGACATTTGGGTGATTTCCATCTTTTGGTAATTATGGAAAATGCAATGGACATTGGTCTACAGGTTGTATCCATATTCGTTATCATTATTATTTTATACAGACCAATTAAACTAAACAGAAACACTGCCCTTTAGTCAATTCGTGTACTGAATTCAAAAGATTTAATTGCACTTTTAAAATCTGTTGTACCTTCTTTGTGTTTCCCTTAGAAAGATTAGTGCTTTGTCCTCCATTCCTTCCAATATTGCCATCATTTATGTTTAGCTGGTTTATTTTATGAAACTTTTCATTCCTTCTTTTCTTTTATGTATATATTTAGACATTTTTATTGTAGTTATTGCAAGGATTATATGTACTATTTTAAATTTATACTATCCTAAATTTATATGACCTTAACTTCAGTAACATACTAAAACTATTCCTATGCCTCTATTCTGTCCTCCACATAGTTGTTGTTAACCATATCTTGATATATTATGTTCCCAATAGCATGAATTTATAGCTATGTCTGTGTTGGTCAGGTAGATTAGAGAAACAATTCCAGAGACACTCCTGTGTGTAAGAGAGAACTTTATTTCAAAGAGCAATTGTACATTAAGAAAACATCCCATCCCAGTCCAGATCAAGTCCATAAATCTTATATTAACCCATATGTCAATACTAATCCATAAATTCCTCTGTAGACTCACACCTCACATGCATTGATGCAGAATGCAGGAAGATCACAGGTCAGTGAGTTGAAAGTCTTGTGGATTCAATTGTGGTGCAAGCATCTCAGTGCTAGCGTGGGCCTCCATGTGGCTCCTCTGGCTCCAGGATTCTGGCTGTAGCAGTGTAGCTCCATGTGTCTTGTCAGCAGGAAGACCAAGCAGAGAGTATCTCCTGTCTCCAGGGAGGAATACAGGAGTTCCTAGAATCCTCCAGAAAAGGCAATGCCCACAGGGAGGCCTCAATGGCCCTATTGGCTATTGACAGGCTAGACTCCATCCCTTCGCAAGTTGACAGGAGATAATGTAACTGCCACAATGTCTTATGTATTTGGAGTCATGTGAATCACACCTACTAGAGTTACAAACCAAAAAAAGAAAAAAACTGGACCTTTTTTTGCACATGATATTAAATTTAATTTGGGCTTTTTCTCAGAACATCTTCTAGTTATTCTTTAAGTGTTTATCTACTCCTAGCTGAAGAATTCTAGTGAGCATTTTATTTAATATAAATGTAGTTCTGATCAATTTTCTCAGCTTTTGTTTATCTGAGAATGCCTTACTTATGCCCTCATTCTTTAAGGACAGTTTTACTGGATATAGAATTTCAGGTTGACATTTCATCTCTTTGAGGGCTATAAACCAAGCATTCCACTGCCATATGTCCTCCAAAGTTACTGAGGAGAAATTGTACTTAATTTTATTAAGGATCTTGAGTGTAATAACTCTCTTCTCTCTTGCTAACTTCAGGATAGGATTCTCTATTTCTCTTTGTTTTTCTATACTTTGATATTAATGAATCTTTATGTGGAGCTCTTTGTTTATCTGACTTGGAGTTCCCGCCACTTACTGCCTTTTGTTTTGTTGTGGTAGCCTGCGTGCTGAAGTGAAATCTCAAGCTATTCCATTGACCCCCAGAATCAGCCAGTGGTGGACTGGTTTCAAGGAAATGTTCAGGCTAAGCCAAACGAGAAAGAAAGAAGAGGCAATCCACTTCTGAAAAATTCTCACTCACTGCCGTCAAGTCAGTGCCGACTCTATAGGGACAGGATAAAACTGCCCCTGTGAGTTTCCGAGACTGTAACTGCCACAGGAGTAGAAAGCCCTGTCTCTCCCGGAGAGCAGCTGATGGTTTCAATTTGTCTACTTTGCACTTGCCAGCCCAACACATAACCACTAAGCCATCAGAGTTCCTCTGAAAATTTAGGCACTGTAAATCTTCTGAATATCTATGGAGCATTGTCTTACATTGTGCCAGAGATGAGCCATTCAGGTGGAGTATTATTCAAATTATGATTGAGACAGAGCTCCATTCTCAAAGCTATGTCAATTTTAATGATGTTCATGGAGCAAAGCTTTTGGGAACTTGCTGATGCGGTCCAACTCAAAATGAGAATAAATAGCTGCACGAATCCATTAATAATAGAATGTGGAATGTATGAAGTATGAATCTAGTAAAATTAGAAATTATTAAAAATGAAATGGACCATGTAATGATTGATATACTACACATTAGTGAGCTGAAATGGACTAGTATTTGCCATTTTGAATAAAATAATCATGATTTACTTTGCCAGGAATGACACATTTAAGAGACATGGTATCACAGCCATCCTCAAAAAGAACATTTTGAGATATAGATTGAAGTGCAATGCTCTTTGTGATTAATAATACAATACTTATACACCTACAAGGAAGATCTGTTAATAAAACTACTGTTCACATTCATGTAGTAATCATTAAAGCAAATAATGAAGAAACTGAAGAATTCTATAAACATCTTCAGTCTGAAATTGATCAAACCTGCAATCAAGATACATTGATAATTATTGGCAATTGAAATGCAAATTTTGAAAACAAAGATAGACCAGTAGTTAGAAAATATGAATTTTGTGATAGAAACTATGCGGAAGCTCTCATGTTAGGATTTTGCAAGACCAATGATTTCTTCATTGCAAATACCCTTTATTTCCAACAACATAAACAGGATACATATGGAATGTAACCCAAATGGGATACACAGTTATCAAGTCAACTGTATTTGTGGAAAGAGATCATAGAGAAGCTCAATATTATCTATCAGTCAAAATAATGCCTGGGGGTCTGAGTGTGGAAGAGACTATCAATTGTTCCTATGAAAATTCAACTTGAACTTGAAAAAAATGAATTCAAGTCCAAGAATGCCAAAGTGCATCCTTGAATATATTCCACCCGAACTTAGACACTTTATCAAGAACAGTTTTGACACATTGAACTTTAATGGCCAAAGACCAGATAAATTGTGGAATGATGTCAAGGTAAGTATACATGAAAAAAGAAAAAGGTCCTTAAAACACCAGGAGAGAAAGAAAAGACAAAAATGTATGTCAAAGCACATGCTGAAAGTTACATTTGAACATTGAATGGAACAAATGGAAGAAATAGTGGAATAAAAGACCTGAATAGAACATTTCAAAGGGTGACTTAAGAAGACAAAGTATTATAATGAAAGATGCAAGGTTTTATACTTATAAAAACAAGAAAGCTCCACATTTCATAAGCCTTATGGAGTTGCAATGTTGAAGATATTATGAAAGAAATATTAAACTATACAAAAAGTATCAAAGAAGGACTAAAACCATGGTCACTATACAAAAAAGAATTGGTCAGCGTTCAACCATTAAGAGGTAGCTTATGATCAAGAACCAATAATATTGAAGGAAGAACTCTGAGCTGTATTGAAGACATTGGCAAAGAACTAGGCAAAGAACTAGGCAGAATACTAATTAAAATTTTTCTCAGCAAACTGATGTATCACTGGAAGCACTCAACTTTTCTATTCCAAGAAATTTCGAAGATCACTCGAGTGGAAGATATCCATATTTGTGCCCATTCCAAATGAGGATGACTGTATAAAGCAAAAAT